ATAATATTTCACGTCGAAATTCGATTAGGCAGACAAAATAATATATTCCAGTCGATTATTGGAGTAATGTAGCGTCATATTAGAATATGTGTATACATATAATAATATCATATAATACGCAGTATGCTGAAAAGTAAAAAAAAAAAAAAGTTCTCGAAAGGCACACTAGGTCATCGTGTGCATATACATATATATATATATATATATATACATATTGCAATGTAACAGCTAGGTAAATAATAAATAATAATAATATAACAATATTCTCGTCTGGTCACGGCGACGCGCACTACGTTGCGGTACCACTGCGGCGCGGCGGCGGCACAATTAAAAATGAGAAGAGGTCTGCGCTGAAAACCACTTCGAGTGCGGTGCGGTGCATGCAAGGCAGACGACTCGCGCGTATACGCGCACATATACATAGTTTAGAGAGGTTTATATCGGATATACCGTCTAAAGGCTAAAGCAGCTATATATATTTGTGTATACGCGCCAAGTCACGTATATTATACGTACGTACATAATATATATAGTATACATATATACTCGACACGGGGGTGAAAACTATCCTTTCCCCTTGGTCCGCCATCAACGCAAATAACCGTCGGCCCCCCGGTTCACCTCGCATCACCCCCGCGCACACATCGTATATATATATATCGTTCTCGTATAATGTATAAAGCTGACTCCACAAGTTTTATTTTATTTATTTTTTTTTTTTCTTCCCCATTGCGGCAGTTGCAGGTTTCCGCCCCGGAAAATGCACGCGAACGTTATAATATACATTGTATACGCGCTGCGCATATATCTGTAACGCGACGGCGGCACTATATAATAATATGTATAAGTCGTCTTATAACGTCGCGTTAGTACGATAAAATTCTATTATTGTTATTATTGTAGTGCATAAACGCGCGGAGGATATACACGTACACACACTCGCCCTGCACTGTTTATAATATATTACCCTTGTGCTGTGGTACGTAGTCGTCTGTGTGGCATAGCTGCCGCTATTAACTCTCGTACAAATTTCCTAAGCTTTTCGGTGTGATTTATAACGTACAATAACGTGCGATCTAAGTGTGATAGGTACTAGGTACCCTAAAAAAAAAAAAACGATTTTCATAACGCACCCGAAACGTAGTCTAATGATTACATAGGTTCTATTAGACATATATTATATAACGATTATAACTGGTACTTACTCAGAAACTTGGTTGTCGCAGTCACGGCGTAAAAAAAACTTGTTGAAACGTGGAAAATATATAACACTAAAACGCCGACTAAGAACTGCCGCACTATTGTTGACTGCAGTTGGCGTTCGGCGCGGTGACTTTCGAAAACCGCAAGAACCGGTGATCCGGTTGTGCTCATACCGCGGTCACAGGTAAGACCGCGGTCACTGTTGACGGTCATTCTCGAAAATAATTTAATATAGATTGCGATACGGCGCACGGTCTTTCATTTTCGCTGTATTATCGTCGCACAAATATTGCACGGCCGTGCGCATTAATGTTAACAATTATTATTAAAACTAGGTACTCAAAAACCTACAAAAATAAACACTGCCGTTTTATGATGATAATAATAATATGGGTAATAATTATTGTGGACTATACGCGAGGGCGGATAATGATTGAACACCGATTTTCTTTTTTTCAACTATTTAATAATTTTATTTATGAAAATATACAATAATAATAATAATATTATATATTGTTGAGAACGTAACACTACGAAATAAAATATAGGTACGCGAAAAATGTTCGCTGCCACACTAGTTTTAATATAATATAATAATAATATAATCACTAAACAAATAAATAAATAAATTATTATTTCATCGTTAAATCTATTACAATAATGGTTTATAATTTTCTCCAAACAAATACGACATGGACAATCATAATATAATATATCTTTAAAATAATTTCGTCGTACAAACTCTACACGTACGTAATAATAATAATAATAGTTATTGAGCAAAACTACTGCGTTTCGATCTTGTACATAATATATTATACTCGGCTAATGAATTTTATTAATTTTTTTAAGCTTAATATATTCAATCGTGAGTTTATAACAATTTTAAACGTTCTTTAATTTATATTTTTGTATATTCTAAGTTGGACTACCCTTTAAAAAAAAAAAAAAAAAACAACAAAAACAACAAATAAATAAACGACTTATTACCACTTATAATATAGTGTTATATAAATATTTTTGCTCTGCCGATTTACGACATAATTGTACGTGATTGGACTTCGCGGTCTTACACATTTCAATCACGTCATATCATATCGTAAACCCAAAAATAGCGGTTACATTGAAAAAAAAATACGTGAGAAAAATTACCGGTTACATTACAATATCAATACATTGTATAATATATATATATATTGTATTATTTTAAAAATACATTGTCACCAGCAAAACATTGTTTGCACAGGCGAATGGAGACATCGCTGCAATATCGTAAGAACAGTAATAACACTATAAATTAGTATATTATTGTTATTATAACTCGTCCAGTTCATCGTAGTATTCGGCAACCGCATGAATATAAAAAAAAGTGGTCTTGCAATTATATTATATTGAAAAAAAACATCATTATCCCACGGACTAAGATAGACGGAGGAATTATAATTGCTATCAATATAATATAGTTTTTGAATGGTTTTTTTTTCATATCGTCACGGTAATCCTTAACTGGACGAGTTATACGCATCCAAAATTGACGACAATATAGTAAACGGATATTGATAATTATACATTGATTTAAGTATATTATGTTCATTAAAAAATTTACCCTCAACGGGTGTTGAATTTTATGCCTGTTCCGAACTCACATTAAATGTCCAATGTCAAAAAATGATTCTCTCTTTTCACTCTCTATGTTAATGTTTATAAATATTATATATTTTTGGGTACGTAATTGTCGTAAAAACGAATTCTTCAAGGCCACTATGTGTTTTTTTTAAACAATATTTATTTTAGATCATTGAAAAACGGCATCCAAAAATATTATCATTATTATTATACCCACCTACTTTGATGCGCTGCTGCAGTGTTACAATAATAATATTATAGTTGCTTCTACTGCCGCGCATATGTGTATATTAAATATACCTATATATATATATATAAGTGTACATTATATATATATACAATATGTTAACATATCATTTTGAAATAAAAAATTTACAAAAAAAAAAATAGTTTCAATAAATTTTAAAAATTCAATTATAAACAAAATCAAGGACGCGACGCCCGATTGTTCTAATAATATTCACTTCCGAGCTGTAATACTATGATATAATACTACCTCCGCCCAATTCTTAACAGTAATTGAAATGAAAATAATAATATAAATAGATGAATGAATACAAATGTAAAATACACAATAATATATTATGATATAATATATTGCTATAGGTTTCACAAAATTATTGCTCTACGCTCTACAAGAGGCTCCCGGAAGGCGTTATCGTTCACGCTCCCGTTTCTCCCTCTACAATTTTATTGCTTTTCGAATACGTACTTAAATGTATGAGTTTCCTTAAAAGTATATCATCGTTAAACATCTTACACGAGAGTCCAAGGTTTTTGGACGAAAAATATAAAGTTTACAAAGGTTTTTATTTATATAATATAATATATATGTTACATACACACATATATATATATATATATTTATAGTATTTACACTGAGACATTATAGAAAGAGAAGAAAACAAAAACAAAATAAATTATACCATAGTGTTTATTAACGTGTAGAGAAAACGTACATCTAATATAAATATTTGTAATGTATAGTTATAATAATATTTGAAATTCGAAAAGAAATATAATATTTTAAAAATTATTTTTTCTTTTTTTTTTCCTTTTTACATTTTTCTTTTTGTTCCTAATTTTATTACATTATTGAGCAGACGAGTTGGTTACGTTATTGCTTTTTCACTATATTAAAATTTTCTTAAATCTATATTATGTAACATAATTAATATTTCAATCTACAAAAAACAATTTTTGGTGTCTCAGTTTTTGTACTCTAATCTCTTCCATCTAATCTCAAATATTGGGCTTTGAATAAAAACACGAATAAATACAATATTTACTAGTTTCCCCAACATCAGCTATATCATATTAATATTATGACCATATAATTACCACAATTTATTTTAGTCTTTTATTTATAATTTATTTAACTATACGAAAAACCACTTAGTGTCTATTAAGTTTTATTTACAAAAAAAAAAAAAACATTATTTATAATTAATATAATATAACATAATTAATTATGTTGATTTACTTTTATTAACATTCAATAATTTTTTTTTTTTAATTTTTTATTTTTGAGATCGCATTCTCTTATACATTTTTAATATAGTTCATACCGCTTTCGCAGTAGCTCTACTTAATCTAAATGACTAGACCACACACTCTGACATATACGCGTGTATACATCCAATTAAAATTAAAAAGAATCAAAATTATAATACAATATAATATATATGTGAAAAAAAAACGAAAACACACGCTTCAACGTGTTTAAATGATACACGTTGCTTATAAATAATAATGTGTATAATATATATACGCATTAATCAACCACTGGCAAATATTACTATATAGTATACACAGGGTTGTGCAAGGTTAGGAACCAACCGCACATTTGTATTTAACTTCTAGACTATTTAGAGGCTATAATAATAATGTGAGATTTCATGCAAATAAAATGTCCGCTCGATGAAAAATTAAAACATAATATGATTAAAAATAAACAGATAAAATAGTAATAGTAATAATAGTAATAATATATTTAAATAAAAATTGACTTTTTAACTCTGAAACAAAACAAAACACGCTATTGCACGCCCCCTTTCGCGAATGAAAAAATAAAAATAAAGAAATGAAAAATGAAAAACTTAAACCAATAGAATAATATATTTACGTGTTGAAATTTTGTCACGGTAAATAAATAATAATACCTAATAAAAAAAAATTATATATATATACACATACCTATATAAACATAATATAAATATTATCTGCGAAATAGAAATTGACTAGAAACTCGTGACTAGTGCTTAAGAGTGAAAATAATATAATAATATTACGATAAAAAAATAAAAAATAAAAATAAAATACCCACCTCTAATCGTTTGATAATAATAAAAATAAACTAATACTTAAAGATTTTCCGAAAAAATTGACTATAACGTACGACCAGAATATGATATTATAATAAGAAAGACACGTGAAAATACAAGTGAAATTGAAAAAAAAATAAAAAATGAAAATTACAATAATGACCAGAAAACACGACGCGCACGCACCGGTTTAGGCGGTGTGCAGTACCGTCGGACGCAACAGGTTGAGATTGGTGATTTCGGCCGATGTCGTGAGTTGGTGATGGTGCGGCTGCTGTTGGAGCAGATGCAAGTGTGAAGGCGAGTGGAGTTGGTGCGACGGTGACAGTGCGGCGGCCGAGGCCGACGACGACGCCGACGACGACGACGACGAAGACGACGAAGAGGACGACGACGACGACGACGAAGACGAAGACGACGACGAAGAGAACGACGAGGGCGACTCGGGCGCCGCCGTGACGGCGGACGCCGCCGCTGCGGTGGCGACGGGCAGGCAGGCGGACTCCAGGTGCTTGTTGAGGTACGACTTGAGGGCGAACGACTTGAAGCACCGCGGGCACGCGAAGTTCTTGTCGCCCGAGTGGGTCTGCATGTGGGCGCGCAGGTTGGAACGGTCGGCGAACGCTTTGCCGCAGTGCGCGCAACCGTACGGCTTCTCGCCGGTGTGCGACCTCAGGTGGCCCTGCAGCAGCCACGGCCGGCTGAACATCTTGCCGCACACGCCGCACGCGTGCGTCAGCTTGTGCGTGAGCTGGTGCATGGCCAGCGCGGGCATGCTCACGTACGGCTTGCCGCACACGTTGCACCGCTTGGCCGACTGCGAGTCCAGGCTCCGGTGCGTCTGCTTGTGCCGGGACAGGTTCGACGACGTGGCGTACCGCTTGCCGCACTCGGAGCACGTGTACTTGGACGGGCGGCTGGCCGCCGACGCGGCCGCGGCGCCGATCACCACGGCCGCGGCGCCGGCGGACGATTTGTCGTCGGCGGCGCCG